GAAATGACAAAAGCAGCACAACTTACTATAACTTGTTAAAAAAATGTAAACAAGCATTAATATCTGGGAACAAGATTTGTTTGTCTTGGAGCGGTGTGACGTAAATATGAAAAACAAAAAAAATTACGTATTCGAGGTTATTAAACAAAGCATGCATTCAAAATGCACTTTAATTTTCCTTGTCACACTTTATAACAGCATGTCTAATTTAAAAATTAGCCATACTTATGACTTGTATAATCTATCTATCCTTATTACATAAATAAACATTGATTTAACTAGCTCTCTTTCTAATATATGTTTCAATACTCGTTTCAGCTCCCGGATCCTCCGAATTCACCAGCTCTGGAGATTTGATGAAGAGTACGTATATTAGCAATTTATTCAATTTTCGATCATCATGTGACATCGACGTTCTTGTTATTTTATATTCTAGAAATAGTAACTAATAAAATATAAACTTCATAACAGAGCGTAACATGTGTTTTAGACGATTTTTCCAAAATTTTGAGATGGCGTAGTGCTGGACCGTATATATTATTGCTAATTATATTATTATTTCACTATTGTCCTATGAAAGCATTACGAGCCAATGCACCTTTTCCATCCTCTTATCTGTATTAAATCTTTCATAGTGTATGAAGTTGTATAAAAAAAAACAGAATATTTTCTACAAAACAATAAATTAAAGTAAATGAACGAGTTCCGTCGTTTCGGCGGTATTCATGCTTATTCTGTGTAAATATTTATAATGCCGTAATTGTTATGCTGGCCTGTTAAGTCAGGTTAATCAATCATCAAGGGTAATTAAAAGTGAAACTTAAACCATTCATCCATAGCATTGGTCCGCCAATCCAGGAGGTCTTGAAGTGAGCTGCACCGTTCTCACCCAGCTGCTCCGCGTTTTGCTCGAGAATTCGCCCTTGCTCACGTGGATCTGAGCAGTGGTTCTCAACCGGTGGGAAATTTTCCACTAGTGGGGAATTTGGGGGTTGCTGGTGGGAAAAGGAATGCTTCTCCAAAAATATACGCACAATAACCCAATTAATAAATATTACACAATGAAAATCACAGTATACGTCATGAAGCGGAAAAGGTTCCTATTCAGACAATCAAAATTTTGCTGAGTTATGCTGATGTAACTCACTTTGATCTCTGGTCGACCGATAATGACCCTAAAAATATGTCTCGAACGGGTACCTTAACTCTAGAGCAGGGTGATCCAAACCCATGCCCGCGGGCCACACCTGGCCCGCCGCTTCATTGTCGGATTAGGAGTGTGATAAAGAAAAACGCATTTAATGGTATTTCGTCAAAAAATTAACGAGAAAATGTTTTGACATACTGGTACATCACTAACGTCACTGAATGAACTAGTGTTATGGCATTTTTCCGTTATGAAGAGTTTGGAATTTTACACCAAATGTAGATATAGGAAGACTTTTGCAGGTTTTGTAAGTTTTTTGGTGATTTTTGCATTTTCTAGATTGATAAATGACAAATACTTATAAATGTGTTAGCACAATGAAAGTTTTTCTGTCTTGCACTGTTTACCTATTCTTGGCACTATTGTTGGCCCCGAACAACGCGAAAATAATTTTGTGGCCTCCGAAGACGACAACCTTGGACCACCCTGCTCTAGGGGTTAGACAAAAAGTTTTCCCTTTTTCCTTGCAGAGCCGCTTAGATTCTAAGGCGTACGGAAGTTGTTTTCTTTTGTGTTTCTCGTAAGTGAGTTGCTTTTTCAACAAATAAAATTTAGCTACAGCATGGCAAATTCAATTCAAATCATTCACACATCTATTGTGTTGCTGTTTTACACAATTTGAATTACTAAAACTGATAGGCGAAATGGCATGATAGGTTGTTGTTTTGAAACACCAAATTAAAGCGCATTCTGAATGCGTGCTTAGTTTAATAATCTCGAATACGTAATTTTTGTAGCTTTTCATAGTTACGTCACATAGCTACAGGGCAAACCAATCTTGTGCTCGATAATATTACATTTTTAACAGAAAATTCTCTTCATAGTAAGTTGTGTTGCTTTTGTCATTTCTAAAAACATAGTTGACGTATTGAATTGTTGTTCAAAACTATTGTTCCATTTTTACATAATCTCGCGTGCCCTCATTTTTTAAAAGAGATTACAATCTTTTGATTTAGCCGATAATAATGACATTAGTCTTAAATAAAAATGGTTTTAATTTATTAAAACAGCTTTCCACATTGGTTTTGGAACACTACCACGTTGAAATATACGTCGACTGTACTTAAAACAATGCATTCTTGATAAAATAATAAAATTCGAATCTGTGGGCAGCAAACAGAAAGTTCAAAAACCATCTGAAACCAATAATTTGATAACAACCGACATCAGGCTCAAATGTTTATGCTACTATTACATCTCGGAGTGCATGTAAGTGAAAAGTATTTAATGCAAAACTTTCTATTTCTGTTGTTATCAGCATACGATTCTTAACAGTCACAATTGTCCATACGAACGAAACTAACATCTAAACAAAAATTGAAATTCTGGCTGAAGTTTCATTTTAATTAAATCATTCTCGATGCTTGGTTAACCTGACTAACACATCAGCATACCCGTTATGGCATTATAAATATTTGCAATAAATATGCGGCAGAAACGATGAAACTTGACTATTCACTGTAATTCATTGTTTAGAAAAAAATGAAATATTCTGATTTTCCATTCAACCTCAAACGTTATTGAAGTTTCTCATATTTTTCATCATTGAAAACAATAGCGATGAAAAATAGTTTAATAAAAATCTTGTAAATAATTCATGAAATGTCCATGTCCCATTACATACGAGCAATTTGTGTATTTTTCGATATAAATAGATACAAACCTAAATTTGCTTCAAGTTTGGGACTGCAGTTCTCGAAAATATATAAAATAACTGGGATGAAGCATTAATTACTGTTAGAAGTCTGATATGATAATCGAGGTATCATCTGCTGTTGTTTGGAGTTTGGACCTGGAAAGCGCGTGGCTGTTTTAAGCGTAGCTACAAAATCGTAGTTTTTTCAGGTCAGGTTTATCCTGTTGGGCAAAGGTCTTCTTTTTTTCAGTCACCTGTTTTGTTATTGTTCTGCCAGCATAACCGGGAGCAACCGCTTTTGTCATATTTGGATGAATGTCAGACACATACATTAACGTTCAAAATGTTGACTGTGGATCCCGGAGGAGATCGCGATTCTCCATGTTAGTAATGTTAATGTTAAGCGCAATAAGGTAGAAAATCTCTGAATGGTCTGTGTAGACGTTATAAGCAGGGGCGGATCGTGTCCTTCAGAATCTTCAAGCACCCAATACAGCCACGCGCCTCCCAGGTTCAAAACAACAGCAGATACCTCGATTACCATTTCAGACACCGAACAGTAATTAACGCTTCATTCATTAAGTTTAATCCAAGTAATTTCATAAATTTTCGGTAACAGCATTCCTGGATTCTAGTTTGCATTTCTTTATACTAAAAGCACGCTAAATGTGGAAAATTTTTATTAATTATTGAAAATTTATCTAATCTATTTTATCTCTATGGTTTCCATTAATAAAAAGAGAAAAAGCTGTTATAGTTTTTGAAGTTGACTGAAAAATCACAATAATTTCTACTAAAAAATACATTATAGTGAACAAACGAGTCTCGTCATTTTGACGTTATGTTCTGCATATTCTGTGCAAATATTCAGAATGCCATAACTAATTTGCTGGTGTGTTAGTCAGGTTAATCGAACATCGAGAAATATTTGAACAAAAACTTCAGCCAAAGTTCCAGTTCATGTGTTAATTTTGTTTGTATGAGCAATGGTGATTGTAAGAATTGTATGCTAAAAAAAACAGAAATAGAAGGTTTTGCATTAAGTATTTTCCCCTTACATGCACTCCGTGCTGTAGCAATTTAATAATGTGGCAATAAAATTTATAACTGATGTCGGTTGTTATTGACTTATTGGTTTTAGATAGTTTATGGACTTTCTGTTTGCTGCCCACAGACTAAAAACTTATTCCCTATCAAGCATGCATTGTTTCAAGTACAGTCAATAACAAATACCTCAACGTGATAGTGTTTCAAAACCAATGTGGAAAGCTGTTTTAATAAATTAAATCAATTGTTTATTCACGACTAAAGCATTCTTATGGGTTAAATCAAAAGATTGAAATCTTTTTTAAAATGACGAAACGAGCGATTTTGTAAAAATGAAAACAATAGTTTTGAACAAAAATTCAATACGTCAGCCATGTTTTTTAGAAATGACACAATCAGCACAACTTGCTATAAAGAGCAATTCTGTTAAAAATGTAAACAAAAATTATTATCGAGTATAAGATTTGTTTGTCCTGGAGCTACGTGACATAAATGTAAAAAGCAACACAAATTACGTATTCAAGATTATCGAACAAAGCACACATTAAGAATAGAAACCTCATTTTCAAATGGATGCGTTTCAAATTTTTTTTTTATGAATTTACAATGATGATTTTGACAGAAAAGTATTGTTTCTTTGAATTTGTCAACATATATATATAAATGATGGCAAATAGAAAAATTTTCGAGAAGAGGAAATCATCTCTACGTTGTTTAACCAATTTACATCTATACGAGGTAAGATATTGATAAAATATTACTATTATAATATTCTATGGGTATTGTAAAATTGTTCATTCTAATCAAGATACATGGATTAGGAGATACTTTTACCATCGAATGGATTACAAATCTATTTCCCTTCAAAAATTTAAAATGGGAACAAAACAAAAAATGGGCATTATTGAGTTCCATGGCAATGTTGCCCAATGCTAAAACCTCGAGCCTGTAAACTAACCCGGGCTATGATATTAATTGGGCCTAAGCAAGAAGGTTCGAATTGTACACTATAAGTATTGGAAGCTAGTTGTGGGCCAGTGAATCAAGTCAAATAATTAAATCAAAAGTCACTAAAAAATCATTTTATCTTTTACGAACTCCAGTCTCGACATGAAGATTTCTACTGCAATAGTTTTCATCAGCATTATATCGATGAAGTTAGAATTCGCGAACGCCAACAGCAAACACATGATTTGCAAATCGGTTGATGACGTTTTCAATGAAGAAACCGAGGCTGTTGGTATTCCACTGACCCGACGACTTTACCAAGGGTCTCCAGGCAAAAGAGGCGCAAAGGGAGATAATGGGGACCATGGTCAACCAGGGGCAAAAGGCGAACCAGGAATTGCGGCCGTCGTCGATTATGACACAATAAAACGTTTTGGTGAGTAAATTGTTTAATTATATACCACAGGATTTAGTGAAAATATTAAAAATTATTACAAATTTCCGGACAACACTAAAAGGCTGAAGGAAGAAACGGATGAAGTGGAGGGAAAACGGAAGTTGAAGTGTTCCCAAAGGTGAAAAATTAAAAAACACTAAAAGGCTGAACACTAAAAGGAAGAAGTGGATGAAATTTCTTCCGACGAATAATGAGGTGGTTGAAGTTGCTAAAAAGCTGAACACTAAAAGGAAGAAGTGGATGAAATTTTTTCCGACGAATAATAAGGTGATTGACGTCACTAAAAAGCTGAACACTAAAAGGAAGAAGTGGATGAAATTTTTTCCGACGAATAATGAGGTGGTCGAAGTCACTGGTTGAAGTCACTAAAAAGCTGAATACTAAAAGGAAGAAGTCACTAAAAAGCTGAACACTAAAAGGAAGAGGTGGATGAAATATTTTCCGACGAATAATGAGGTGGTTGAAGTCACTAAAAAGCTGAACACTAAAAGGAAGAAGTGGATGAAATTTTTTCCGACGAATAATAAGGGGATTGACGTCACTAAAAAGCTGAACACTAAAAGGAAGAAGTGGATGAAATTTTTTCCGACGAATAATGAGGTGGTCGAAGTCACTGGTTGAAGTCACTAAAAAGCTGAATACTAAAAGGAAGAAGTGGATGAAATTTCTTCCGACGAATAATGAGGTGGTTGAAGTCACTAAAAAGCTGAACACTAAAAGGAAGCAGTGGATGAAATTTCTTCCGACGAATAATGAGGTGGTTGAAGTCACTAAAAAGCTGAACACTAAAAGGAAGAAGTTGATGAAATTTCTTCCGACGAATAATGAGGTGGTTGAAGTCACTAAAAAGCTGAACAGTAAAAGGAAGAAGTTGATGAAATTTCTTCCGGCGAATAATAGGGGGGTTGAAGTCACTAAAAAGCTGAACACTAAAAGGAAGCAGAGGATGAAATTTCTTCCGACGAATAATGAGGTGGTTGAAGTCACTAAAAAGCTGAACACTAAAAGGAAGAAGTTGATGAAATTTCTTCCGACGAATAATGAGGTGGTTGAAGTCACTAAAAAGCTGAACAGTAAAAGGAAGAAGTTGATGAAATTTCTTCCGGCGAATAATGAGGTGGTTGAAGTCACTAAAAAGCTGAACACTAAAAGGAAGAAATGGATGAAATTTCTTCCGACGGATAATGAGGTGGTTGAAGTCACTAAAAAGCTGAACAGTAAAAGGAAGAAGTTGATGAAATTTCTTCCGGCGAATAATGAGGTGGTTGAAGTCACTAAAAAGCTGAACACTAAAAGGAAGAAGTTGATGAAATTTCTTCTTGCGAATAATGAGGTGGTTGAAGTCACTAAAAAGCTGAACACTAAAAGGAAGCAGAGGATGAAATTTCTTCCGACGAATAATGAGGTGGTTGAAGTCACTAAAAAGCTGAACACTAAAAGGAAGAAGTTGATGATGAAATTTCTTCCGACGAATAATGAGGTGGTTGAAGTCACTAAAAAGCTGAACAGTAAAAGGAAGAAGTTGATGAAATTTCTTCCGGCGAATAATGAGGTGGTTGAAGTCACTAAAAAGCTGAACACTAAAAGGAAGAAATGGATGAAATTTCTTCCGACGGATAATGAGGTGGCGGAGGTCACTGAAAAGCTGAACACTAACAGAAAGAAGTGGATGGAATTTCTTCCGACGGGTGGTGAGGTGGCTGAAGTCACTAAAAATCTAAACACTATAAGGAAGAAGTACGTTAGGGTTAGATGATATTTTGTCTCATCAATTTTGAGGCGGTTGAAGTCACTAAAATACCGAACATTGGGAGAGTTAAATAGCCAAAACATATCCCGACGGAAGTGAGATTGGATGAAGACCCTGAAAGCGGACTGATGAGTAGGCATGCCCCTTTTAGATTTATGAATTGAATCGATTCAAATCGCAATTTTTTTCGAATCTGATTTACGCGATTCGAAAGAAAGAGAGCCATTTAGCGAAGAAAAACAAACACTCCAAATATCACCAATTGCCAGACGGGAATGTAAATGAATTTTTCGTTATTTACTTTTATTGATCTGCCTTCATTCATTTTCATGTTCAGCGCAACACACCCTGATCATCACTCGAGATGCTGACGTGCTGTGTGGGTAATTAATTTCCTCCAATCTGTCAGTTGAGTATTTCACTGAATGACCTAAGTTTCTATCACACGCAAATTTAAATGGATCGTATACCCGAAAGTTCGTTGCAATTTTGTTAAAAATATGCAACATCACACCTTCTCTGCGACTAAGTTATGGTACGCCTTGACATGAATTGATAAACGATCAGATACCGACTTCTAGAAAACATTTAATTTTGATTGAAATTTAATTTAAACTTCGTTGAAATTGAAATATTGGTACTACTGAAGTATGCGCACCAAGATGTCGCACAATCTGATCCCTAACCTCGTACACCAGTGATTTTCAACCTTTTTTGTATCGCGGAACACTTTTTTTATTCTAAAATTGTGACGGAACACCAAATGAGATTTTTGGAAATAAACTATATTATGCAATTAACTGACATCGATCATTTCGGAAAAAAATAAATTAACGAGATTAATATTAGCTTGTCAACTTCAGCTTGAAAAGACGTTACACATATTCCGATTCAGAGCTACCGATGAGCTAGGAACAGAAATGGTATTTTAATGTAATATCTGGGCCTGTTTCGATGAGTTTCAATTTTTTATTCTGGCTGGAATTTAATTGAGAGAGACAAACACGCAGCTCTTTCTCGACGACTCTCAATTTTTTGTGTTTTTATACTCTTATGGCGGCCAAGAAAAGGGTGGGCAAAATCGAATATTTTTTTCGAATCAAATAATTCGAATATTCTTAACAAATACCGAATAGTCCAATACCGAATATTTTTTATACGCAGCAGGGTCCAGAACGTCGGAGGTAGATTTGGAAATTAATAGAAACATTGAAAATCGGCAACAAAGCGATTTTTACTGGTTAATTTCGTCATATGCGCTGATATTTTGTCCCCCTGAACGTTTTTAAATTCCCGCCATTTGTTCTTTTGCGCAACTATTAATTCCCGTGGGTCGGCGGAGATCGAGATTTCATATTATTGATATAACTATGAGTTCACATCAGCGACAGATTTTAATGACATTAAGGAGTGATTTCAAAGCCAAATTAATTGTATTCTGATATTTATCTTTTGCGCCGACTCTGATCTAACTTATCGCCGTTTGCAAATTAAACGTCCCAGTTTTAAGCAAATAATATTATCATTATCGTCAACGGGATGCACACATTTAATATTAAGACGACAATTGACTTTCTTAGGCTCAGTGTTATTTTCGAAATAAATCAATTTGATACTGTGATTAGATAAATCTGTGAAGCTGTGATTGCGTGAATAAAGAATGTCGATTTAAAATCTGAAATAAAGGCATTTCTACGTTGTCGTTTGGCAGCACTCTTGAACGATATTTTACATACGCGACCTGATACCAAAAAATTGTAAACAATTTTGTGCCCAAGTGCTTTTCGTACCTAGTAGAAGGGAAGACGCTAATTATAATTAATCACCTCAAGTCACCATTTATTTTACAACAAATCAATACCCCGACCAATATCATAGCTAATATCGTTACCGGGAAATTCATAATTTTATTTACGGAATTTGCAAATTCAACACTCCACTTGACGATTTTGATGATGCCACGCCCTAATTAATACTGCAGGAAAAGCTTCAAAATGCAACAAATGTAGTCAATTCCGATGATCCATGGTCGAGTATAATGTTCACATTTTTGAAACATTATTTGGTCAAGGATGAAATGGATCACTAAAAATACACGCCGAGCTATTAGAAAGTCCATTAAAAGAGAGTATGGCCTGTCATTTCTTATCTGGTTATAAGTTTTTATACCGGCTTTTCAAAACTCTGACTCGCCATTTTCAAATCTATGCTATTTATATGGTACTCCCGTGGTATGTGAACCAAGATGGCGGACACACGAACGTAGTATGTGTACCAAGTTAGGGTCAGGCCATAACTTCAGGTACGAATACTATAGGAGTCACCTGGCTAGTCTCCGAACTCGTAATAGAACTAAAATGAGGAAAATTTGAACAAAATTTTGGCCTAACCTGGTACACATACTACGTTCTGGTGTCCAACGTCTTGGTTCGCATATTACAGGAGTACCAATTATATAACTCGAATTTTCTGACGTCCTAAAATTGCCGTTTTCACCATGTATCGAAAACGTCTTTGTAACTCTTAATTTCCGAAAATGATTTTCTATTCGGGTCATGCATGCGGAGGCTGGTAACTTTATTTTAGATATCTTATCTGGGTTGACGTTTCTACATTTACGGACTAGTGTCGGCACGCTTTTTGCAAAATAACAGTGGAAGCCGAGGGTGAATTCTCGCGTAATCCAAGCGATCGATTTACCGGCGTGAATTCCGTGCCCAAGCAAAGCGGTACAGATAATGTGGTATTGTACATACGAATAGTAAAATGGCATTCGAATATTTTAATATTGTATTCGCTATTCGAATATTTTGCACAGCCCTAGACCGGTCATGCTTAAAAAACTCATTCCGCAAAGATAGGTAGTAGAAAATAATAGCAAGATTGGAAGCGGTTGTGAACCGCGCTTTGTGAAATTTATATAAATCCATCGGACGGTTAAATATCAATTATGACATCATAATACTGCAAAAAAGCAATTTTCCGCGGAACACCCGGAGGTCTCTCGCCGGTTGAAAATCAATGATCTATAGCAGTGGCCGGCAACCTTTTTTCAGTAACGGACCGGTAAAGCCTGACCAAAATTTTGGCGGACCACCTTTATACAAACGAACTAATCTAATAAATAATATGCGTTAGAAAATGTATGTTGACAATACATTCAAAAACGAAGGTGATACTATTCACGTAACGTATTTCTTACGTTAAACCCACTTCGATCTGTCGTTTTTGTAATTGCCATTTTAAAAACCCAACCTCACATGAAGATAACAATGGCATTGTACGTTTTCATGTCACCTTTCTGCGGACCGGTAGTGACCTTTCCGCGGACCGGCGATGGGCCGCGGCCCGGTGGTTGCCGACTACTGATCTATAGTATATGAAGGAATTTGCATACAATAAACAATGGAATAACTGTTATCTACAACATGACTATATTACCATGCATTTCATGTTTGCAGATTACTGCGATATATTTTTATATACCATGAGTTACGTTATCAGAATTAAATTAATACGGCAAGCATTTAAAATAGTGCTATCGGTCATAGATTTGAACATTTTGCGCAACACAAAATCATCCTAGTAAAAGTCCATACTTTTAAATACCAACCATTATCCAAATTATTTGCAAAAAGCGGGATAAAGTATAAATTATATTTCTGACTTGCGACAATTTTTTCGTGAGTACGTAAATACGAATGGATTTTTTTTATATTCGGGCACTTCAATGTCCGCATATATATCTTTTATTATTTTATAAATACGAAAATATGTATCAAGAATTAATTATAATCGGGCAGTTTACCACACATTTTAAGTCCATGGATCGCCGTTGTATTTTGTAAATACGAACATAGGAATCAAAAATTAATAATAATCGCGCAGTTGACCACACATCTATGTACATAGATTGCCGTGATATTGTGCCCGAATATAATTTATTTTTGATTCCGTATTTCATTCCTTGAACTTAATATCTGTTTTTATAAATTTTGCAAGCAGTTCACGCACGAAGACTTTGAATAATGATGTATTAGTCAAATCGAAGTCCTGTTAGACCACTGGTTCTCAACCAATGGGCCATGGGCCACTGGTAAGCCTCAGAGGCATTTTGAGGTGGGCCACAAACATATTATAAATTACAAGGTTTGTTGATCTAGAACAGCTAGATATGAAAATATATATATATTAATTTGTTTGCACATTACATCAAAATTAAAAAGAATATAACGAGAATGTCATGGCCTTCAATTCGCCAGGCTCGAACTGAGCATAACATATAAAAAATACCAAAAAACGAATCCACGAGGACATTGTCTTATAAATACGAACAGAACAAACATTAAATTACCCAATTCCTAATATATTAAATTTTCAAGTATTCCTCACTATCCGTCGGAAGAAATTTCATCCACTTCTTCCTTTTAGTGTTCAGCTTTTTAGTGACTTCAACCACCTCATTATTCGTCAGAAAAAATTTCATCCACTTCTTCCTTTTAGTGTTCAGCTATTTAGTGACTTCAACCACCTCATTATTCGTCGGAAGAAATTTCATCCACTGCTTCCTTTTAGTGTTCAGCTTTTTAGTGACTTCAACCACCTCATTATTCGTCGGAAGAAATTTCATCCACTTCTTCCTTTTAGTATTCAGCTTTTAGTGACTTCAACCAGTGACTTCGACCACCTCATTATTCGTCGGAAAAAATTTCATCCACTTCTTCCTTTTAGTGTTCAGCTTTTTAGTGACTTCAACCACCTCATTATTCGTCGGAAGAAATTTCATCCACTTCTTCTTTTTAGAGTTCAGCTTTTTAGTGACTTCAACCACCTCATTATTTGTCGGAAGAAATTTCATCCACTTCTTCCTTTTAGTGTTCAGCTTTTTAGTGACTTCGACCACCTCATTATTCGTCGGAAAAAATTTCATCCACTTCTTCCTTTTAGTGTTCAGCTTTTTAGTGACTTCAACCACCTCATTATTCATCGAAAGAAATTTCATCCACTTCTTCCTTTTAGTGTTCAGCTTTTTAGTGACTTCGACCACCTCATTATTCGTCGAAAGAAATTTCATCCACTTCTTCCTTTTAGTGTTCAGCTTTTTAGTGACTTCAACCACCTCATTATTCGTCGGAAAAAATTTCATCCACTTCTTCCTTTTAGTGTTCAGCTTTTTAGTGACTTCGACCACCTCATTATTCGTCGAAAGAAATTTCATCCACTTCTTCCTTTTAGTGTTCAGCTTTTTAGTGACTTCGACCACCTCATTATTCGTCGGAAAAAATTTCATCCACTTCTTCCTTTTAGTCTTCAGCTTTTTAAAAGAAATTTCATCCACTTCTTCCTTTTAGTGTTCAGCTTTTTAGTGACTTCGACCACCTCATTATTCGTCGAAAGAAATTTCATCCACTTCTTCCTTTTAGTGTTCAGCTTTTTAGTGACTTCAACCACCTCATTATTCGTCGGAAAAAATTTCATCCACCTCTTCTTTTTAGTGTTCAGCTTTTTAGTGACTTCAGCCACCTAACTACCCGTCGGAAGAAATTTCATCCACTTCTTCCTTTTAGTGTTCAGCCTTTTAGTGTTTTTTAATTTTTCACCTTTGGGAACACTTCAACTTCCGTTTTCCCTCCACTTCATCCGTTTCTTCCTTCAGCCTTTTAGTGTTGTCCCAAATTTCCTTCTATCTGAAATTTATTTTGTAGTCGAAGCCGCTGTGGCAGCTGAAATGAAATCAATAGAAGAACGCCTATTTGAACAAATAAACGAAACCAGGAGCTCTGTAAAAGCAGGTATACATTACGTCTCTTGTGCAAATTTTTAAAATAAGTGTTTTCGCAAAAAAATTCCATATTTTTTTACAGAATCCTGCACTGGATTTATTTATACCGAATATTGTTACTGGGTCGAGATACATTCAATTAGCAACACAACCTATGCTGAAGCCAAGACAATATGTTTGCGAAATTCGGGAAAACCAGCAGATATTGTTGATTCTCAGCATTACCAACTTGTGAATAACCACATTCGATTGAACATACCTTCCTTCGTGTCATACGTTAACGCGTGGCTATCTATGACCATAAATCCATCGGTTTGTACAGAATTTATTGTTCATTAATTAACTAGCAATAAATAAAATATATATATAAACAAATCAACAAATTTGGACAATTCAATGCATTTTTCTGCAAATGCTGTTTACTTGAGACCAGATTTGATGCTGCTCGGAACAAGTAATTAATTGGATTAGAAGAATATACGTTTCGATGAGAACTTAATTAATAATTTTGTATTCATTTAAGTCAGGAACGGTTCGATTTTCCGACGGGAATTCAGCAAGCAATGTGAAATACTATCCAAAATACCCCAAATCGACCGCCTCATACACACAAATGGCAATTGGAGTCCGTAAAGACCCTTCGGATTCGAGGCAAGGAATGTTCAATTATACCCCAGCTAGTAACTTCATGGGAGTTGTTTGCCAGAAATGAAGTATTGGAAGGAGGAAATATATTTCAGTTGAATTATTCTCTTGATTAGCCATAGCCTAATGTGTATTGTGTAACGCCTACCTTTATATAGTCATAGTAGCTTTTGATATTATTTCTCAATTTTATCTTTTCTTCTTGAATGATGGTGATAATAAATATCAGAATGTGCTAGACATGTGAATCCTGTGATATTTAAGTCTTCTTCACAGAATATGTTTCAAGTATACTAACTACCAAAGTTTTCATTTGTAAAATATGAGGCTCAGTGAAGCTAGTTAGAATTGTGTCGTTTTCTAAAGTGGATGTAACAAAATTGATGAATAAACTATGAATTACGATTATATTGACGGTGAGAAGACAGAGGACACTTCGATGTGTAAACTATAATTAAATTAATCTTAATGTTCAATCTCTTCATTAGAACCATTTGTTGATATATAGCCTATATTTTCTTGCACTTGCTCAAAAGTCAATACTGCTATAATTAAATTGATACCCAACAATGGTAGATGTGAGACTTGGTTTGAATACTAAATATAAAAAAAATATCGGGGAGAAATCTTGCAGAGCAGCAACTATAGAAAAACAAAATATGCTCGGAATACAACTTGTTATCCTGGTTAAATAGGGAATATAAATATTCAACACCAAGAAACAATGTATTTACAGAAACATAGAAGACATACGAAAATTTTTCGTTGTAAAAAGAATCTTTGAATCATCAATTCTCATCCATTGCCAATCCATATTCTACATTAAGTGTTTATCGTTCATGTATTCGAATGTATTCTAATTAAATCGTCTCGTTGAATACAAATAGCTATATACAGTCAAATTAATTTTTGCTGTCTAAGCTGTATCTCGTTGACCGATGAATCAGTCTACTCTTCACACAGAGAACCATGATATTTATAATTTTCTGGAAAGTTATATATTCCTTGATATTTAGTATACGGTTTTTGTCAATCATAAGCGCTACATTTGTACCAGTTGCATCATCTTTGCGAGGGTAACTTGAATATCAAGTTGACGTGAGATTGAGCTGATCATGAGCTCATGAGATGAAATTCTAGCAGTTTGTATTGTGTAAGATTGTGAATGTTTCCCAACTAGGGGAAAGTGGGGAAGGTTGGGACACTTTTTTTCTTTTGCATATTTTGAGCCGTTAATTCTGCATATTCACTTAAGTTTGCGGGACTGATGTATAGAGGGACTAAGAAATTCCCTTGCGACTCACATCTTACTACCAAAATGCTTTGAAAAACGTCTGTCAAGTGTCCCACTGTACCCCACTTGTGGGGCACATTCGGACAGACCCTGGGGCACAATGGGTCAGTCTGTCAAAATTCAACGAAGTATGCCCTTAAAAATAAGCAATTAATCAGCATAAACGTCTAAAGAACAGGGAGATTTCAAATTTGAAAATTTAATATTTTCAAAATCAATGTTCAACTGAAATAGTTCAGTTATTTTGACAAAAAATTTCGCAAACAAATTTGATTATTACCTTCCTCGAATCTAAATCTGGAAATATTATTGATTCTCGAATATATTCCATATTGAGCCATGGGTCGAAAGAAACCATAATATTACACAAAATATAACGCATCTCTAGGTCTCTAAGCACTTATCGTATCAAACACTGTCGAATTGTGCCCTGTAGGGCATGTCCCACTGAATATAAGAAACAAATATTTTCAGACCATCCCACGGCGAAATTCGGAAGGCACATCCACTCGCCAAAGTTATGAATATTTTACAGTGGAGTAAAGCTGAAAAATATCAGACGGTGGTTTGCCCTGTAGGAAAAAGGAAAAACTGAAACGAGGAAATTTTAGTTTCAACCTCCCAAAACCAATTTTACCTCATAGCTTGCGCCTCTCTACCCGTCCTTTGTCCGTTCACGGGGACGTTGTAACTCACCGAAAGGCGGATTGAAACATCGAACCGCGGACAGGATTGCGGATATAGTATCAATGTGAGAGCTGATTTGCCACTGTGCCCCATGTCCCAACGTGCCCCACCTTCCCCTACCATCCTATTTCTGCGCAAAGCAATTGCGAGTTGTTGAAAGTTATGGTTTCTGTAGAGTATGTGTTGACTTTGAAGCATTTTAACTTATACTTGACAGAACATTGCCTGCAAGGCAACCTAAAGCATCAATTGCAGGTTTAGTCACAAATAATACATCAAACTATGTTGTCAAAATATCATTGGTTCAGAATTATATCAGCATATTGACTTCATGATCTTGCTGCAGTACAACCTTGGGGACTCCCGTAGTGTGTGTACCATGTTAGGTTTGGGCGATGATTTTATTTCGATTTTCCTTATTTTTGTTCTATTACGAGTTCGAGGACTGTCTGTGTTAGCCTAGTGAATATACCCCTGCCCATGGGTTTCAATCCCTTTACGCAACTTGATGTAAAGTAGGCGAACAAAATTAGTTACTTCCATATTGGTACACACACTTATGGAGCGCCCAACCATGTGTGGATATAGGCAGTGGTGGAATTCAAATTTTTTGTCAGCCGGTTCCTTCACAAAAATCATATTTTTCAGCCGGTTCTGTTGCAAACAGAACATTGACAGTAACCAGTAATGCTAACCGGTTCGCTGATCTCATGAAATTTCGTGAGACGGTTCTATAGAATTGGTGCGAACCGGCTGAATCCCACCACTGGATATAGGGCGTGAAACAGGAAAATTACACTTGGATATCCTACAGGTAATAATATATTCTACCATGTTGTTTGTTGTAGAAAAAAAGGTTTCCTCTATCGTTAAACGACGACAAATATTTCACCACAGCTACTTTCCCAATAAGCATTTTCAATTGGTGGGAAAAACAAGCACTGTACAATATTTTGTTAATTCGACGGCAAACCTAAACACTTTTATCTGTATTTTTAATACTCAATTGTGATAGAATAATTGGTGAAAAAATCATGATATCCAATAGGGTTTTTATACATCGAGACCGCTACTATATAACAAAATATCATATACAGAAAGACACCTGATTCATAAACAAGAGCGCTATGCTCAAATATATGGACACGTAGGACTGAACGAAATATTTTATCATCAATTCACCGAAATAGTGTATCCTGGAACGCTAGTGTATCCCGCTTTTACGAGACAGTTACGAGTTAGTTTAGTATCACCGCGCTGTGTTACGGTACCGGAACTGCCCTATCTTAAGAAGTTCCTGTCTTGTGACAGCGTAACACCAGCGATCCGAGTCTCTACTGTAATATGTAAACACCAAGTACGGCGCTGTTCGCCATTTCCCATGAAAACATTAGCTAAGCAAGAATTACGTTACACGGGAACCACCTACGTTCGATGAGCACGTGATCGAAAGAAAAATAAGAAGAATGCCAGCATAAAAACAAATCCATTACGTGTAAAAAAAACGAATCCCACAGTGCTAACGGAAGTATTTGAAATAAATAAAAGTAATAGCCAGCCTTCTAGAAAAAAAATCATTTTTTGACCACTCAAAATGTTGAAGAAATTTGCCCAGTAATCAAAAAGAAAAGCGACTTTTTAGGTTTTTCACTGGATGTCCAAAAATAATGCAAAACGATCGTCATGTCCACTAACGTGTCCAACAAGTATTATAATGGAATCACAATGCTTCCTAGATCAGTGGATTTCTATTCCGTGATACAAATGATGATTTCTTTGGAGTGATCCGTCAAACCAAAGTGGTTTTGCAGCCGCGAGATGACGCTAAAGAGCAAGTCGGAATTCCAAAAAAATGCGATAAAAATATTACTGTCTTATAAACGTTTGTCTAATGAAGGGATACGTGCTAATTTTATCTAATTATCTCTGGCCTTAAGGTTTTTTGCGTTATGTTTCAACAAAACGATACCACAACCATTATTATAGTTGAAATTATTGCCAAGTAATTCCCAATTGTATTTGCTGAATTTGCACATTCAGCATTTCGCTTGACGAAGTTCGATTACGTCACTCCCTAATTATTACTGCACAATAAGTTAAAAAATCCTCAAGTGTATTTATTTTCGATGATAATATATGCAACAAGTTATAATCAGGGGAATGTGCGTCGCTTTCTTGTTGTAATTGAGTTATTTATATCTGAGGGACTCCAACATTGGTCAGACGATAAGTTACAGAGATATATTTGCGTTAGAATGCGGCAAGTCTCTCGGATTGATATAAATAGTTGTGTTCATCCTAGCGTACTTACATGATATGCATACGAAACCACCTTCGAAAAAGCCACAGGTTCACATTTTCAATTGAAAACATCTAACACCTATGCATGTATGTATATGAATTGTTATTATATCAGTTAACTTTACCAATATCCTATAGGCTACATGCCCCATATCAGTGGTCAGTCTCAACCTTTTATGGCTAGTGGCCCCCTTCCGAAGGCTTTTAGCTTTCATTTTCATCATTCCAGTGGTATTTATAGTAGTATTTTGGTCAGTAAATTTCAAATCCCATTATGTTCAAACAATTCATAAACAAAGTGAAAACCCCCTGTGAAAATAACCTTGTCAAGCAATGAAACTAGAAAAAAACGGGGAATTTTCTGGTTTAGAGATAAGATGGCAAATGAAATGACATCAAAACGATTTGGCGCCTGGTATTGAGACCCCATACAACTGCTCTATGATCCCCTTGAGGGGCCAAGGGCCCAGGTTAGGAACCGCTGCCTTAGATGGATACATAGATATTATGGTATGTATCATCTCTTATCCAATGTATTTTCTCAAATTTTAGAAAAAAAATTCTCAAACAGTTTATCTACAAAAAAACTAGCGTAACAGCTTACGTTTAACAAACGTCTATTGTACCAGGAGGTACAATAAATAATGGAACTGAAGTAGTCTACTGCATGCCTCCTAAAGCTTGTTTAAATCAGGATTTGAAGCTGCTTGCGCTGATTCCCTAGACCGCTCGTAGTTTTGAATACGTTAGTGGAGATCTGCTTTTGTTAGTCTTCATACTTCGGA